CGTCTCTCTCCACCTGTTAGGACCTTGCGTTTGTCTTGTTCCAATTCTGAGCCATGCTTGGGCTGACAGGGAAAACAGCTACTCCATCTCCCCCTCGCCATTCTTGTTCTGAGACTCACCCAGCACGTGGAGTTCTGTGGACAGAGCCTGCAGGTCTGTGGCGTACGGGGTGGTAGTGCAGGATAGCCAGTTAGAGCTGGTTCTGCAGAGGCTCCTGGGGGAAAAACACACACTGACTCCTCTAGCTTTTCTCAGTTGAACAGCAGTGCTTAGTTTGTGCACTGCAACCTTGAGAAGGAAAGATAGCTACAACCATACATAGAAACTGTAGTGTTAATATTTTTGTTTGTATCTCCAAGATATGATTTATATATGTTTATTATTACTTCAAGAATGGGTAAGAACCACTGACAGATTGAATTTACATTTTTCAATTGCATTTTTTCCCCAATTACGTATGACTTATATCTGGCTATCGGTTCATTTAAGTTTGATATATGGTATTATAGAGAACCAACAAAATTAAAATGATAATTGATATTTGAGACAAGTCACTTTATGTCTGAACTGTTTCTTTATATATGTATTTTTCAAAATGTCATACCTCTTTGAGAGTGACTAGAACTAGGTGGAGAGTGGGTGCAAAGGTGATTGGTAAACTGTCAAGTGCTATATAATTTTGATTATTATTGATATAGTCACTTATATGATCTGTCCATCCTGATTCTCTGTGATGGTATAGCTCAATAAAAATGACTGTCAATAAAATGGACAGAGTCTTTGTATTTTCTTTTTAAACTAAGTTTTCTTGAGCAGTAGTAAATATATATGTATATATATATGTGCCTTTTGTAATAAATATATTTTATTTTTTAAAGCATTTAATTTTTTACTTATGTGATTGCATGTGTATACAGAGGGTATGCCCACATACCTGTAGGTGCCCCCAGAGGTCAGACACATCAGATCTCCTGGACCTGGAGTTAGAGGCACTTATGAGTTGTACAGCGCAGCTACCAAGAGCTGAACTCAGCTTCCTCTGCAAGAGCAGTACACACTCTTAACTGCTGATGCATCTCTCCAGCCCCAAGCTCTTTATTACTAATTAACAAACTGTATTGATTTATTTTGATGTTAAAGAATCCAAGCATTCCTGGGATTTACCCAGTGTTGTGATTTCCCCATCTCTGGAAAATATGGGAAAAGACATGCCTTGAATGTCTGTGTTTTCCTCCTAAGCTGGGACTGATGTGTTTATAGATTTGTTGATTAGCTTTAGGACTAGTCATATTTCTGTTTCTTATGTTTGGTTTGTAATTGTGTCCTTTTCCTTTTGAGATTGCTTCTTCATAGTCTTTCTCTTGATTCTGTTTACAAAGTTTTGTCAACTTTATTAGGCCTTGAAAATTAATTTTTTTGGGAATTTAGAAAGTCAACTTTATCAATATTTACTTTACACATAATAAAATTCATCCACGTGTTCAGTGAGCTTGGAAAAAGTTAATGCCTCTTTCATCCACCACTGTGATTGTGTGCTGTATGGTAGGGTAGCTGTTCCTGCTTCTCCCTCCTCCTCCTCTACTTCTGTTCCTGTGTTCTCCCCCACTCTGTTCCACCCTCCTTCTCTCCCTCCCTCCATCTCCTTCTCTCCTTCATTTCTTCCTTTATTGCCCACTGTGCTGTCTCATCTGTTCCCAAATTTCCTTTTAAAAGCTGAATAATATTCCTCTGAGTGTATGTCCTGCTCTTGAGCCATCTCTCCAGCCCTGCATTTACATATTAAGAACTGTAATTAAAATCTAATTACATCGCTCCCCCTCTCCCCTTTCCTCCCTCCTGTTCTTCCCATGTCCCTTTCCTTCATCTCCTCCCAGACCCCAACCCTCAAGGAGGCTAGAGAGATGGTCAGTGGTTAAGAGAACACGCTGCTGTTGCAAGGGGACACCAGCTCAGTACCCAGCAATCATGTGGGTGGCTCACAACCACCTATAACTCCAGACCCAGGGGATGTGACACCCTCTTCTGGCCTCTGCATTGAACTCATGTGCAAATCCATACTCAGATATACACATTAAAAATAAGAATAAAAACTTTTGACGTGGGATATCTGAAATGTTGGCAGGGACTGGTGGGGATAGAGCATAGGGTCTCTTGAAGGCTAAGCGTGCACTCTGCCATAGAGCTACATCCACAGTGCCTCTAGGTTTTTATCCGTTTTAAAATTTCATTTCTATTCATCTGTGGGAGTTTGGTAGACATACTCTTGATGTGTTCTCAAATACAGCGGTAGCGTGAATCCTAATCGGTCTTAATAATAAAAACTTGGAGTCAGATAGCTGGGTAAATGCTGAAAGATCAGAGAAGTAAAGGAGCCAGCCAGTAGAGAGAGTTCTTACCTCTACCGAAATCCTCAGACTGAAAAGGGGGGCTCCTGTCTCCTGCCTTATGTTACTGTCTCCACCTCCCTAGTGCTGGGACTAAAGGCATGAGTTTCCCATGT